GCCCAGCTCTGTTTCAACTCTTTAACATCATTTTTTGGGGATTATAATTGCATCATTTTCACCTTCTCTTTCCTGCATCCAAGTCCAAGTGTGTCAGTCATTCCAGGCTGGGCCTTGATTGGTCCATCAAGAAAGAAAAAGAGACAGGTGAATGAATGTCCTAATGCAGCTCAGGCTTTTATTGGGGGAGTGGCTATGAAGAAGCTGTTGTGTAAGAATGTGAATTCATTGTCATATGCAATCAGGTAATCAGTTTAGGTGATCTATAAATGTCCCAAGTGGCCATTTCTTGAGTTCCATAGACCAGGTTCCTTGGCCAGAAGATTGACACATCCCCATTGAAATGTGAGGTTTGTGCCCAGGACAGAGATTCTATTCTCTTGACCAAGGGCCTTTTTCTATTAATGGGCCTTCTTTACTACATTTAATTTTCTTCCATTTACACCATCCACAAATTAACTCTCTGAGTTTTGCAATGTTCCTAGGCCTTGGAAGCCAGAGAGACTGGGAGACGCTCATTAACTGGTCCATTTTTCCTTCTCACTGGGCCTGGCATGGAAGGAGTTGCAGGACTGTCTTCCCAGCACTAGGTAGCAGAGGCAGGATTAGGTGTAATTACATAGCATGAGTCAAGCTTATGCTACAGGAGACATTGCTCTACACAGAAGTCAATAATCAGCAGCTCTTGAGAGAAAAGGAATGAAATAATGACCTAGAAACATTAGACAACAGAAACAAAGAGATACCAGCAGTTAGAAGAAAATGTTAAAAAAAAATACCTATACAAATGCAAAGGTACCTGTGCAAAAACTGAGTTCATTGAACAACTTTGAAGCTGATATAGTGAAAGTGCAGAAAGGTGGGGGCAGAAAGGAGGGTGAGAGCTTACCTGCTTCAACAGTATTTGAGATTAGCAATGTGGAGTCATGTAATCAATTTTAGATGATCCATAAATATTCTGACTGGCTAGTTCTTGGGGTCCATAAACTACAGCATTCAATAATCTGGATAAAGGACTGACCTTATTGTGAAATCAACTTACTGTAGTTATACTCGTTAAACTAATATAGAAGATCTGGGTAAAATGGTGTGTCCTTGTCTGACAAGACTGTTATTTTCCTTTTTTAAAGATATATAGCCTGGTGGGGGGGGGGGGATTTGAGTAATACTTGGTTTGCTGTCATACAAATCATTAGTCTGTGGAACACATGACCATAAATTCTGTTTCAACTAGGTAGAGGTCATTTGTATAATATTTTGTCCCCAAATCATTCCTATTTTCTCCATTCTCTCAGAAATTGAGTAAGGCAGAATTAAAAGTAATTGGCTGATTTCTTGTACAAAGTATTGATTCTTTTGTGTGTTTATTACTGATGACTCATTCAGGTTTACAGTGGAAAAGAAACAAGTGGTGCAGAAACAAATGAAGAGTCAGTGCCCACATCCCTTTCTTTCTTGTTTTAAAAATTTATTTGTCTCTCATACATTCCGTAAAGAAAAACAGCATGAGGTAGTTTCAAATGGCAGTTGTGTGGTGAAGCAGAGGAAGGAAATTTCAAGAAGTTTAGCACTATTAAAGAGGAGGCCCTTCTTAGCACTTGAACCCTAGGAAGGTTCCCTAAGAGTAAGACTCCATCAATGTAAGCCTTCAATTTATGGATGGAATAGGCAACTTGATTCCTAATCCACAGAAGCAACCTCATACAGAATGTGTTGTAACTCTAGTCTAAGCATGGTAGCATCCATCACAACTTAGAAGCCAAATTTGGGGGAATAACACATGTTGTACTGATTCTGGAAACAAAGATGTAAAACTTACAGGTCATAGATTCTTCCTCTGTGGTTTCAGTTCAGCACTGTTGCACCCATCTGTAGCTGTAAGTTTCTCCAGTCCCGCCCAGCTCCACAGTCCCACAGCCATTTATAAAATAATTACTCAGAGGCTTAATAGTAATTACCAACTGTATGACCTGTGGCAGGCTTCCTGCTAGCTAGCTCTTTCATCTTAAATTACCCATTTCTATTAATCTGTGTTTTGCTATGTGGCCACAGCAGTACTGGTCTGCTGGCATGTTGCTGCTCCTTGAGCAGTGGTTTGGCATCTCCTCCACTCCACCCTTCTTTGTCTCATCCTTCAGTTTGATTGTATCACCTAATCTTATCATGCCCTGCTATAGGCCATTGCAGTTTTAGTTGTGGACCAATCAGAGCAACACATATTCACATATTCTGTATAGAAAGACACCCACAGTACTCATTGCTATTTGGCAGAGTCAGAAACCCATTGAGGAGATTGTGAGAGTTCATTGCATGAAGCTGTGAGAATTGAAGCCCAGTGCTAGTTTTTTGTTTGTTTGTTTTTGTTTTTATTTTTTCCTCTTTACTCTTGGTGGGCCTGCTATCTAGCTATCAAATGAATCACACTCACGGACGTTTATTCTTTCTTATAGGTCCTAGCTTGTCTTGTGTCTAGCCAGCCTTTCTCAACTTAAATTATTCTGTCTACCTTTTGCCTCTGGGCTTTTATCTTTCTCTATTCTGTATACCTTTCTTTACTTCTTACTCCATGGCTTGCTGTGTAGCTGGGTGGCTGGCCCCTGGTGTCCTTTCATTTTCTTGCTCCTTCTTTCTTTTTTCCTCCCAGATTTCTCTTTCTATTTATTTTCTCTGCTTGCTTGCCCTGCCTATCCTTTCCTGTCAAGCTATTGGATGTTTAGCTCTTTATTAGACAAATCAGGTGTTTTAGACAGGCAGAGTAACACAGTTTTACAGAGTTAAAAAAATGCAACCTAAAAGAATGCAGCACATCTTTGCATCATTAAAACAAATGTTCCTCAGCATAAACAAATGTAACATCTTAAAATAATATTCCACAACAGCCTGGGTTGCATTTTGAGACCACAAGATATTGAGATACCTAAGCTATAAGACACCTTCCATGGAGACCTAGCTGCATATAGGGAGTGGAAGTAACCAAAGAGAGAGATGTATGAGAAATTGCAGGGATAGGGCTGTTTAAACCCTTTAAAACTGAAGCCCTATACATCTGAGACAGAGATACAGGATTTGATGTTTGTCCTGCTGTGTTTGTCTTGTCTTGGTCCAATCTTCCCTCACTATGTCTCCATAGTGTTTCTCTGTTTTGGAAGGTGAGTGATATTCTGTGCCATTGTATGTTGGTTATATATAACTCATTTTCTGATTTTACAAGATGTCATTGTCAAGAGATTTTCTTGAGTGACAGAAGAGACTGCACATTTGAATAGTGTGACGGTTGTTGCAGACTATGAGGATCATTGAAGTGACTAAATACATTTTCTTCAAGATGACCATGAGCCTATAGTGACCAGGGTCAGAATGTAGTTGATTGAATGACAAACCGTCCAGATAGATGATGTATTTGAACTTGTGTCTCTCCTTGGTGACTTTCTTTCAATTGATTGTGAAACCTTTAGTAAGAGGAGCCTTTCTGGATGAAATTCCTCATTGGGAGTGTGATATGAGTCTTTATAACCTCAACCCATTTCCTGGTCTTTGTATCTATTGTGTTGTGGTTGAAACTAATCAGCCAGCTTCCTTCTTATGTTGTCATATCTTCAACACCATTATAGACTCTATCTCTAAATCACATAAGATACAGTAGAAGCAATTGCTATTCAGTGCTAAGGCAGTTTGGTAGCCTGCTCTTTTAATTTTTTTGTTCATGTGTTTTTGAAGACAAGGTTTGTCTGTGTAGCATTGGCTGTCCTGAAAGGAGCTGTGTATACCATGCTGGCCCATACTCAGAGATCTCCCTGACTCTGGCTCCCAAGTCCTGGGATTAAAGGTGGACCAACATTCCTAGATTTTTTGTTTTTATATTATTGAGTGATGGGCCTAGGGTGTAGGTTTTTGTACATGTCAAGCATATGCTGTTTTACTGAGCTTCACCCATATCTTGCATTTTAAAATTTGGCAGAGGGTATCATTCTGCTTTTCTGAATGGCATGTGTTCATGATATTAATACTGTCTGAGCCTTCTGAGTCATTGGATTTCAGGTGCATGACCTTCTTCCTGCCTGTTGTTTTTGTTTTGAATTTTATAAATGAATATGAGTGTTTTACCTGTATGCACGGATATGCACCATGTGAGTACCTGGTTCTCACAGTAATCAAAACATGGTCTCAGAAACTCTGAATTTGGAATAACGGATAGTTGTAATCCCTCATATAAGTACTGGCAATTGAGCCCACCTATATGTAAGACCAGCAAGAGCTCTCTACTACTGTGCCATCTCTTCTGCCCTGTGTTGATTATTTATGATCAACATTTACATTGCTAATGTTTTCATCTGTCCATTTGTAACTGTTTACACATGCAGTGCCTTTTAGTAAAGTCTTATTGATGTTACAGTTTGAATTGGGGCACTTCAGGTTTCTGGAAGATGAATGCAGAACTGGAATGACTGCATAACTCTTTGTAGGAACTTCAGTAAAAACTTCTGAGTTCTATCTTTTTTGTTTGTTTGCCTGATTTTTTTTTTCATGGGAGACAGGGTCTTAATATGTACTTCTGGCTTTCCTGGACCTGATTGCGTTGACTAGGCTGGCATTCAACTCTGAGGCAGATATACTTGCCTCTGCTTTCTGAGTGCTGGAGTTAAAGGTGTTAAGCCAATGTACCCAGCTTGTCTATCTTATTTTTTTTATAGTTAGTAATTATTCATACCATTTCTCTCATGTGTACTCTGTACTGTTGACCTGTTTACTTGTCTCTTTATATTTGTTAATAGGCAGTTCTCTTACAAGGTGATATGTTATTCAAAGGGTACAGAAATGACAGAGGTTACTCTCCTATACAGTTTCCTTCTAAAGTGACTTGGTGATTGCATTATAATAGCTATGTCATGGAATTAGTGTGGGGTGCACCAGAATTATATGAATATACTGTCAAAGAAGTATACTTTTACAATGTTGTCAGTATCATGCTTTCTTTTGTACATATGTATGGGATGTTTTAGAATGCAGTGACTTATGATGATGTGCATGTTGACTTCACTTGGGAAGAGTGGACTTTGCTGGTTCCTTCCCAGAAGAATCTCTACAAAGATGTGATGTTGGAGACCTACAGGAACCTCAGTAGTATAGGTAAGATTGAATTTTCCCTTATCTTTTAAAATAAGAGGACAACTGTTGCTTGGTTATTAATGCTTTTCTGCAATTTGATAGAGATAAAACAAGAATGAGGTGAATAAACCAGCCATGTTTCTAAGATTCACTGAAGATAGTAACTTAAATTTTACAGTTTTCAATAATATAACATACATTTTTCTGGTACTATATTTTAGGATACAGCTGGGAAGACCATGATACTGAAGAACATTGTCAAAGTTCTGGAAGACATGAAAGGTACTTTTCATATGTGAGCTAATACAAATATGTCTCTAAAGAAATTGTAATGTGTCCTAGAAGTTTTAAACAAAAGCAACATTGTAAATAAGCATAGCTTAAAGTGCATTGATAATTATTAAATTCTCACAAAACCACATACCACAATTTCAGGTAGGTGTATTGCATTTGCAAGGCATTCGTTTAAGAAAGAAGACAAAGAAACAATGCCTTAACAGATATCACGATTTGAATCATAGCACCTTGAGAGTTATGCTGTAGAACTGTCGGTCCATTTATTTCATATCACTCATTTTACAAAAGTTATACACATTGAAGAGGTGATAAGTATATCTCCAAAACCTTCTAATAAGTAAATAGTACATAGTAAAGGTAGTGTATCTCATATACTTGTTGTGACTGTGGTAAGTTTAGTGAGAGGAGCAGTTAGAGTCAAGAGTCAAGGGTCAGTTGTGGAGAAACCTTAATCCCTATAAAAGTCCATGAAGACAGAAAGGCAAACTGTGAATTCAGTGTGGAAACCTTTTATTAGTTATTCTTCCTTTACTAGCTGTAATATATATCACTCTGGATACAAGTCATATGAGCATAGGGATCTGGAAAGACATAGCATACTTCTCACTTAGAACAATTGGAAGATATGTAGCAGTCCTGACATTGAATATACTTGTTGAATTTGATTCAAGTATACAAGTAATCAGTTTTCTAACTTTATTGTTAATGCATCAATAAATTCATGGTACAGAAAAGCCCTATGAGTTCTAGGACTGTGTAAATACAGCATGAGTATAAACACAGTGATAAAACCTTAAGATCTGATTCCTCTTTACCGCTGGACCAAATTGTAAAATTATTTCATACAGCTATAAAGAGTCAACAGTGTATTGAACGTGGTAAAGCTTTTACATGTGCCAATTATCCTTGCAGGCATGAAAGAAGTCAAACAGGCGAGAATCATTCTGTATATACTCAATGTGATAAATTCTTTGCATATGATAGTCATCTTCAAAGGCATAAAAGAACAAATACTGGAGAGAAACCCTATGAATGTAATCAGTGTGGTAAAGCCTTTGCATGTTACAATAATTTTCAAAGGCATAAAAGAACACATACTGGAGAGAAACTCTATGAATGTAATCAATGTGGCAAAACCTTTGTATGTTGCTAAAGTTTTCCTGCCTGACCCACAGTCAGGACAAACTCTCTCACCTGCCAGTCCCACACCCCCTCAGACCCGACCAAGTAAACACAGAGACTGATATTGGTTACAAACTGTATGGTCGTGGCAGGCTTTTTGCTAACTGTTCTTACAGTTTAAATTAATCCATCTCCATTAATCTATACCTTGCCACATGGCTCGTGGCTTACCGGCATCTTCACATGCTGTTTTTCATCGTGGTGGCTGGCAGTGTCTCTCTGACTCAGCCTTTCACTTCCCAGCTTTATTCTCCTCCTTGTCCCACCTATACTTCCTGCCTAGCCAATGGCCAATCAGTGTTTTATTTACCAACCAACCAGAGCAACACATTTGCCATACAGAACATCCCACAGCACTTCCCCCTTTCTTTTTTTCAAAAGGGAAGGTTTTAACCTTAACAAAGTAAAATTACATATAATTTGGGAATTTGGGCGTAGCTTCTCTTACTACTTCCTGCTGGAGGGGGTCACTGTATCTTATGGGGACACAAAGAAAATTTTAGGATTATGGAATAGTCCATGAGGCTGTATCGTCTGAGCCAGTTGCCTTTAAACCATTCTGGATGTTGGATCATCTGGGCCATGGTGTCATCAGAGACCTTTCAGGGGGTCTTGGCTGGTCAAACCTGATGTATCTTAATCTGCAACAAATCCATAGCCTCTGGCTTTCTGTGGGAACAAAAGCAAAGTCTCCTTTCCAAAGCAACATATCCTTATATCCAAATTTTGAAGTCATGGTATCTTTAAAATATACATATTGGTTTAACTCAACATCTTTTATGATCAAATGTTTTTCTGCAGTTAAAAATCCCAAAGACAACACAATGCAGATTCTCTGTGTAATATCCATTTTTACATGGCTTATTTTTTATACTACCTTTACTGTCTCTTTAAAGTCTTTATCTTTTAAAACTATGTATTTGTTTCTATAACTCTATATATCACCTTTTTTGTCTCTTTCAAGCCTACGTATCTTTTACACTCATTGTAAACTATTACATCTGAATCTGTCTTTTTGTGAATCTATTGCCTTAAACTGCAGCAGCTGTGGCTCCTGGCTCCGCCCACCTCACCTTCCCAACATGGCGGTGGTTTACCGCCAGCTCTGGGAGCTATCGTGGGTCTATGCTTTTATCCAAGCAGCGTGTAGCCCAGAAACCTCTTTTTTTTTGTTTTGTACTAGAAAAGGCTAAATCCACCATGCAGCTTAATGTGCCACTTGCAGAGGCCTCATTCCCGCCATACTGCAGGTTGAGCGGGCACATTAGGAACCCACCAGTAACTCAAACTGACAGCTGCTGCTCATTTGAGAGAGACAATTAAGAAGCTGTTTTTAGCTCCGTTTTAGAATCTTTTCTCAGGTTTTAGGTGGAAACTCTTGCCACCATGTTGGACGCCATTTGTTGCTAAAGTTTTCCTGCTTGGCCCACAGTCAGGACAAACTCTGTCACCTGCCAGTCCCACACCCCCTCAGACCTGACCAAGTAAACACAGAGACTTTATTGTTTACAAATTGTATGGCCGTGGCAGGCTTTTTGCTAACTGTTCTTACAGCTTAAATTAATCCATCTCCATTAATCTATACCTTGCTACATGGCTCGTGGCTTACTGGCATCTTCACATGCTGTTTTTCATTGTGGTGGCTGGCAGTGTCTCTCTGACTCAGCCTTTCAGTTCCCAGCTTTATTCTCCTCCTTGTCCTGCCTATATTTCCTGCCTAGCCAATGGCCAATCAGTGTTTTATTTACCAACCAATCAGAGCAACACATTTGCCATACAGAACATCCCACAGCATTTGTATGTCTTAGAAATCTTCAAAAGCATAAAGGAACAAATACCCGAGAGAAGTCCTATGAATGTAATCAGTGTGGTAAAGCCTTTGCTTATCACAGTCAGCTTCAAAGGCATAAAAGAACACATACTGTAGAGAAACCCTATGAATGCAATCAATGTGGTAAAGCTTTTGCACGTTACAGTAATCTTCAAAGGCATAAAAGAACACATACTGGAGAGAAACTCTATAAATGTAATCTGTGTGATAAAACCTTTGCACATCACAACAATCTTCAAAGGCACTAAAGAACACATACTGGAGAGAAACCCTATGAATGCAATCAATGTGGTAAAGCCTTTGCATGTCATAGTTATCTTCAAATGCATAAAAGAACTCATACTGGAGAGAAACCCTATGAATGCAATCAATGTGGTAAAGCCTTTACACATCGTAGTTATCTTCAAATGCATAAAAGAACACATACTGGAGAGAAACCCTATAAATGTAATCAGTGTGGTAAAGCCTTTTCACAACACAGTCATCTTAAAATGCACAAAAAAACCACATACTGGAGAGAAACTCTAACGAATGTAATCTGTGGTAAAGCTTTTGCATGTCTTAGTCATCTTCAAATGCATAAAAGCACACATACTGGAGAGAAACCCTATGAATGTAATCTGTGTGGTAAAGCCTTTGTATGTATCAGTAATTCAAATGCATAAAAGCACACATACTGGAGAGAAATCCTATGAATGTAATCTGTGTGATAAAGCCTTTGTATGTATCAGTAATTCAAAATCCTGAGGAAAAAGTCATACTGCAGTGGAACCCTATAAATGGAGTCAGTGTGGTAAAGTTTTCTCTTTATAGAGGAGTAAAACTTTGTGTGCAGTCAATCTGTTAAAGCCTTTGCATACTACAATAGTCTTTGAGTAACTGAAATTGATACTGAGTGCTATTTATTATAATGTATTTGGAAAGCTCTTTAGTCAACATGCTTACAACCAGTTGCACAACAGTATTCTGTAGAAAAAAAATCGACAGTGTCAATAATCTGTTCAAGCATTATGATGTCTTTTTTTTTTTTTTTTTTTTTTTTTTTTTTTTGGTTTGCACTATCTAACTCATGGAAAAAACAAATTTATGAAGCCCTATGCATAGGTTAAAAGGGCTAGCCTGAACCAGAAACTAGAGCCAAAGAAACATACTTTGGCCCTGAATCCAGAGCCAGTGAAAGAAATACCCTGACCCTATAACTAGAGTCCAAGGTTTAAGAAGGGCCAGTGAAAGAAGCACTTTGGCCCTGAAACCAGAGCCAAATAAGCATACTCTATCTTTGATCAACTGAGCATAAAACCAATTGGTAGCATTGAAATCCTACCAGTTTCCACCCCAAAAATCTCCCTTGAAAACCTCCACCAATATGAAGCTCCATATAAGCCTTGTGCCTGTTCACTTGGCAGCTGCCCTTTTTCACTCTGGCAGAGACAGCCACTCTCCTAGATTCCTTTCTCTTAAGTCTCTTGAATGAGTTTTGAGTGAAGACCTTCTTTTGACAGATTGGATCAGAAATTCCCTAGTGGAGTGGAACTGAGAAGCCATGGACACCTCTGCTTGGAAACTCACTTAGGGGAGTGGAGCAGAACAGCAACAGACATCTCTGCTTGGAAACTCTCAGTATAGTGGCACGGAGTCTAGCTGTAATGGCTCTCCCTCATAGCGGATCAGGATTGCTACAGCCTGTGGGGAGACTATTCACCATTGGAACACAGCTTCAGGTATAGCCTGACTTCCCGGCAATTAAGATTCCTGTCTACTCACAGCTGTAAGTATCCAGGATACCTTCCCTTCACAACTAGCTATAGCTTGACTTCTGACAGTCGGGTATGTTTCCTTTCAGAGCTGTAGGTAGGTTAGAGTCAGGGTCAGGATAACTCAAGGTTGGGTTCAGGGTTTAGCGTTAGAGGCTTAGAGGGTTAGGGTCATGTTCAGGGTCAGGGGGTCAGGTGTTCAGATGGTCAGGGTCAGGACAATTCAGGTTCAGGATCAGGGTTAGGGTTTAGTGTTAGGACAGTGTCAGAGTCAAGGGCTAAGGTGTAAGAGGGTTAGGGTTAAGGGTTAAGATGTTAGGGTTAGGAGTTAGGGGTTATAGTTAGGTTAGTATTAGGTTATGGGTTGGGTTGGGGTAGAGGGTTTCTAGGGTTTAGGTTTGGGTTAAGGTAGAGGGTTAGAGGGTTGTGATCTGTTTTGGGGTCCCAGTTGTGGTCGGGGTCCTGTAACTCAAGGTTTAGGGTTATTGTTAGGGTTAGGGTTGTGTTATGGTAGGTTAGGGTTAGGGTTAGAGGGGTCATGGTCAGGGTCATGATGTCAGGGTGTCAGAGGGTCAGGGTTAGAGGGTCATGGTCAAGGTAACTCAGGGTTAGGGTTAGGGTTTAGGGTTTAGGGTTTAGGGTTTAGGGTTAAGGGTTTAGGGTTAAGGGTTAAGGGTTAAGGGTTAGGGAATAGGGTTAGGGAATAGGGTTAGGGTTAGGGTTAGGGAATAGGGTTAGGGTTAGGGTTAGGGTTTAGGGTTTAGGGTTTAGGGTTTAGGGTTAAGGGTTAAGGGTTAAGGGTTAAGGGTTAGGGTTAGGGTTAGGGTTAGGGTTAGGGTTAGGGTTAGGGTTAGGGTTAGGGGTTAGGGGTTAGGGGTTAGGGTTAGGGTTAGGGTTTAGGGTTTAGGGTTTAGGGTTTAGGGTTTAGGGTTTAGGGTTAGGGTTTAGGGTTTAGGGTTTAGGGTTTAGGGTTTAGGGTTTAGGGTTTAGGGTTTAGGGTTTAGGGTTTAGGGTTTAGGGTTTAGGGTTTAGGGTTTAGGGTTTAGGGTTTAGGGTTAGGGTTAGGGTTAGGGTTAGGGTTAGGGTTAGGGTTAGGGTTAGGGTTAGGGTTAGGGTTAGGGTTAGGGTTAGGGTTAGGGGTTAGGGTTTAGGGTTTAGGGTTTAGGGTTTAGGGTTTAGGGTTTAGGGTTTAGGGTTTAGGGTTTAGGGTTTAGGGTTTAGGGTTTAGGGTTTAGGGTTTAGGGTTTAGGGTTTAGGGTTTA